TTAGGATTCTACATACTGCAGCTATACGTAAACTTTGATAGGAATATATTTTAGTTTCGTGCTGGTATGAAAGGAAAACCTATTTGCATATTGAATGAATGTGCATAGTGATTCATGATAATTTTGCAAATACGTAATTAATTTCTAAAATTGGTTTCAAAAACAGAAATGTACAGACTGCTTGGTGTCATTTTCAGTCATTCAAAGTTCATGAATGAATGGGCCCATCACATTCCAAACAGAAATGTCCGAAAATATCAAATAACATTTATTTTCCCCTAAAAATCTATCATTTACTTGTTGTATTTTGTTTGCGTACATTTTACCATATTTCAATATTTTATGATGTTGTAGTTCATTTTTTGTTTACATCACTAAATGACAGCGGTCCACACACCAGCTGATTATATAAATAGATATTTCTATCTCATATAAAAGAAAGTTCCAACAGGCCTGCCACAGGGTGGCGGGTTGCCATTGACTCCACCAATCATTATCAATTGGGTGGAGCTAAATAAATTGAGCATTGTATTATGAAGATGGTGGTGTTGTTGAAAGCAAAACTGTTGGGATTTATTGTTTATTTGTTTGTTTGCAGAGTCATTTTAAGGCCAGGTCTCCTTGGAGTAGCTGGTGGTTACTTCACTGAAACTCATGTGGGAGGCCCATCGCAGCACACATCCACAGCAATAACCGGGTTAATTTAAGTCTTATCCCATGACACAACCACATCAGTACAGGATTTGATTGACTCATAAGGAAAATGATTTATAATCACAACACAGAGGTCAGATTGGGCAGGTTGTTTGATTATACAGGTAGAAACTTTTCATATGCTAGTTTATATTTAATAAAGCCAGGAATTCGTTACAAAATCTAACACTAGGGGGCGGGCTTATTAAATAGCAATTTGCTCACATTTCCTCTGATCTGCATTAGATAAGCATGTGCCAAGTATTACCAAGAATGGACTTACTGTTGCATGGTATCAGCACTAATTTTGAATGTTTTTGTAAGCAATTACTGCAAACAATACAGGATACAGAGACAGAATTAAGACAAATATCAGAAACTTGCTCACAAATATGTGATTAAACACATCTTTCAGTAGTTCACTAACACACCTATTTTCAGCTTAACACACACGTATGTTCAGCTAAACACACCCATATGTTAAGCTAAACACACACATGTTCAGTTAAACACACACATGTTAAGTTAAACACACACGTATGTAAACACACACTAAACACACACATATGATCAGCTTAACACACACACATATGTTCAGCTAACACACACAAACACACCCATGTGTTCAGCTAAACACACACATGTTCAGTTAAACACACACATATGTTAAGTTAAACACACACGTATGTTCAGCTAAACACACACATATGATCAGCTTAACACACACATATGATCAGCTTAACACACCCATATGTTCAGCTAAACACACCCATATGTTCAGCTAAACACACACATGTTCAGTTAAACACACACATATGTTAAGTTAAACACACACGTATGTTCAGCTAAACACACACATATGATCAGCTTAACACACCCATATGTTCAGCTAAACACACATGAAAGTGGATCACTTAAACATAAAAAACATTTTAAGTCGCTCAAGAACACACACCTGGAAAGAATATAAACCTCTTCCTTAGTCTGATGAGGTAAAACAGACCTTGGACTACTGACAAAATGAATTAGGACTGACAAAGAGGTTTCTCTGTGATATCTGTGCTAACTCAGGAGAAATGAATAGAAAATATCAGTCATGGAATCTTCTCTAAAATTAAACTTTTCTGTAATTGTAAGCATAACTGACCCTTTTCTGAACAACAAAATATGAAAACTTTACCAAAGAAAGTCACTTTGGCTTAACACATGACTCTCTCTTGTGAACATATAACTAAATTTAACACATAAGACTAACACATGAACACTTTAAATGAACACCTGACCTAGACACCTGAACGCTGATTGGTTATAATTATAATTCAATTCACCTATAAATAACATACTAACTCAGTGAACACATTAATTCTGAATCAATTGATTTTCTCTTAAAATTCTGTATTACTTTTCATGTATTTTCCCTTATCATACATTTACTTCAATAAACTGGATAAAATCTGGTAGTTACATTATTCGACAATAGTTGTTCGAGGTCTCTACGCTAAGATAATCCGTAGAATCTACATCTGCGGTAGATCCTGTTTATAAGGTTCTAATTTTGTCCCAGTTCGAAATGAAGTTCATTGGATATACTTAAAAGAAACACACATGCCCACTAAAACCTGCCTAGCAGTTTTATTGTGAGATAAAAAAACATACAAGAGATAGGGACTGTCCTGTTTCCCCTCCTACTGTGTTTCAGCTCCCCCCTCCTCTCCTCCTCCTCCCTCCCCCCTCCTCCTCTACTTTTCTCTCCACCCTCCCCTCCTCCTCCCCCCTCCCCCCTTTTCTCTCCCCCTCCCCTCCTCCTCCCCCCTCCCCTCCTCCTCCCCTCTCCTCCCCTTTTTTCTCTCCCCTCCTCCTATACTTTTCTCTCCCTCCTCTCCTTTTCTCTTCCTCCACCTGGATCTCACTAGCTCTCCATCCTCCCCTTTTCTCTCCCTCCACCTGGTTCTCACTATCTTCTGCCTCCCAGACAGTCAACATCTCTGTAATTGATTTCAATCAGAGTTCCAAGCCATCTTCTTAACTTTAACAGTACTGTGTACCTATTCTTGCCTGTTGCTAGAAAATGTACACCATTTCCTTGACTTTTGCAAGAAAAGAAAAGTTTTATGCACCAAATAAAAACTTGGTCATTAAATACAAGGATACTGGTTCTCTGATACACACTGTTTCACCTTTTGGACGCCATTTTGTATTCATTTCTGTTTTGTTTTTTGTTATAATCATCTGCTAACATATATGTCTCTTTATCATGAATACCTGTTAACATCAAACTGCACAAAACACTTGTATTGTTAAACATCTTCAATTTTTACTTTTCAATAAAAAATAATTTCATGACATTAAAATCCTGTACAATCTACATAAGAAGAAACAACAAATGTTGATAGAAATGAAACGTTGAAATCAATCTCTTTGAGATTACATTTTCTGGTGATGTACAACATAGAAACTGATTACAGCTCCAACTTCTCTATATCTTAGATGTCAAAGATTAACCTGATTGATAAAAGAAAGAAAATGCTTCTCCAATACGTCAAATCAGTCATAAAATATAGAGAAAAAACAGGATCTGTACATGACTTGGATCCCTGCCAGTGTCGGTGCACAAAAAATCATTCCTTTGAAGTGGTAAGTTATCATTTTAGGGATGGCAGGAGATAAGTCTATTGAAGATTCGAGGAACTTTTAACAAATATTTCGATCAAAGTTCAAAAAGAGGACAGTCAAGGTCTTTTATACATCAGAACAAATGTCTTTTTTGGTATGTTGTATGATTTTTTTTATATTTTTCTAATTAACTGTCAGAGTAAACGTCCTTAGGTTAGGCTAATATGTCTTAGTTTAACTCATCATTACTAATATTAATATCGTGAGCTGATTAAATAATATAACAAATACGTACAGAATGTTCTAAAGAGCAGAAGAGTTATAGCCAGATTTGTGTCCCCTTAACCAGAAGATGACAATTTCATCCATATGTGTTACATAAACATTCTCATGATAGGTTAACACATCACACATTTGTGATGCACACTTTAATCCACACATGTGTGACACTATCAGAACACGACTCATATGTGTATTAGTCCCATATTGTGCTTCCTTACAAAACAACTACAAATGAGAGCGTGTCTTTTATGGAGCTCCAGATACAAGCGAAAAGATGTCTTTCTATTACACAAACATTGATTGTCTGTGAGCTAATTCTCATTAATGTCAAGTAACAAGTGAAAATGAAGGAGTCTTGACGATAATTCACCACTAGGTAATTGGATGGAAGCGTTAAGTCAGCTGTCAAACTGTCAACAAAGGCATTGTTTTATTCCAAAAACATTCTGATACGGTAGGAAAGTTGATGGTTCATCCACTCCAGCTGGGATTGGAGATTACGATAGGGTCATACAGATGATTCATTTGGTGACTCTGTCATTTCAGTTCAGCAAATCTACATCCCTTTGTCTGCATCTTAACATAAAATTCTACCAATATTTCCAGCATTTTTCAAAGCAAAATTGGAAGAACATATAGGTAAAAGTTTCGTCAATGATTTGAATTGCTAATTACATCATTTAATCATTTAAAAATTAGCGAAAAGATGAGCTCAACTTCTTTATAATGTTGGTGTGGACATTGACGCAGACAAAAATGCAGCATATTGTAGTCTGTCACTCGACTGTCACAGAGCAAAGACATAAAATCACTAATTAAAAATGAACTGCAATCCCACGGGTTTTTTATCATTATGTCAAGTCAAAAGGGCTTATCTCCCTTAGGTGTCTCTCCATATATTTAATCAATATTTACAGTCATGAATAGTTACCTCCCTTAGGTATCGACTTTTTAAATCAATATTAGCAGTCAAGAAGGTTTTTTTTTATCTCTGTTCATTGTCTCACCCTTGTTTCAATCAATATTTGCAGTTAAGACAAATTATCTCCCTTAGGCGCCCCTCTCTTTATTTTTAATCAACATTTGCAGTTAAGAAGAATTATCTCCCTTAGGTGCCCCTCTCTTTATTTTTAATCAATATTTACAGTTATGAATTGTTCTTTCCCTTAGACTTCAGGTTTTTAAATCAATATTCAGTCAAGAAAACTTATCTCCCTTAGGTTTATCACCTTTTTAAGCAACATTTGCCTTCAACACAGGTCATCTCCCTTTCTTGGTGTCATAGTTATTTCTATACAGTGTATAAGTGTTCATATCCTACAATCAAAATGACAAAAAACAAACTGACAAATAAACTTATTGTCTGAAGATTTTTTTTGTTTTGATATGTGTAATAGGTATGGAAGTCTCACCTTGAAGGAAATGTAGAGGAGCACAAGAGATCCGACAGTTGGGGAGAGCATCTTTAATCTTCTTCGCCTCCTTTGGATGATTGAACCGAAAATAGTTAGACCTCCCAAGACATACCATACAGCCTGTAAATACCACAGAGTTACATCTTAATTAAAAATTTATGCAGTCATCTATGTGGAAAATACCTATATAACACTGTTAAATTACTAAACGTAAATCTGGAAAAAAAGTCTGCTAACGGCACACCTTGAGAAAATCCAGATCCTGTTGATTAATTCAATCACTTCAACTTAAATTCTCAACATCAGGGCTTAGAACTTAAAAATCACACTTGTCCTGATTTAGACTACTCAGGTGACTGCCCAGAACTTCCATCTGTTGGTCAATTTCAAGGTAGATACACTGAAGTTCTCACCAACTGAAAACAAAAATTTCCGAACTGTTTTAAGTAAATCTTCAGATGTACTGGTTTTCCAACCGAGGCTTAGAGTACCAGTACAATTTCCTGTCAATAATCCCGCTAATTGTCTTATCTGTGATTTCCCTAGTAACCATGTAAATCCAAAAACACAGAATCAGGAGTATAAGGCCATCCACTTAACTTTTAAAAGATGTTTTTACAAAATACAGGACATATTTTAAAGATTCTTCTCAACTGGCCATTTTAGGAGTTTTAAAGAATGTCATGTTCCGAGATAAATCCAATAGATTGAACAAAAGACACACAAGTAAATATCATCTGTTAAACAGCATCATACAGCTGTTTCATCCCTCTAAAACTCATTGTCAAGTTATGTTTAGTGTTTCACACAAAAAATTTTTTAAAATTTATATATTTTTTCTGGAAATTAAACTATATAAACAATAATTCAATATATTCAGAACTGAAATTCAAATCCGAATTTCCTTACAAGATCAGAAAGGATCTGACAATCTGATATTATCGTGAGTATTTTAATTTTGTAATTGAAACAATTTTTTGATACGTTGACATCACACTACAGTATGTAAGTCTCTTTGTATCCACTTCTTCTCAAGTTCTTAAAGTCCTAATCTTCTTTTCAAAGATTAAAACTCATGTCGAGGAAGTTTAGGAAATTGTATATTTCATACGGTATGTGATATTTCTTCATCATATTGTGTTGATGAGGAGAAAGGGGTGGGGGTGGAGGGTTGTGATGGGAGTGTCTGACTCTCATTGTGAAACTAGGACAACTTTAACCAGATACAGTTAATGAAAATAGAGAAATATGAAAATGTCCAAAATTTCCAATTTTGATTGAAAAAAGATTCGTTAAGGAGGAAGGGATTGTTAGAAATCTTGGAATTCTGCTGACAAAGCAAAAGACAGTAGGTTATATCCATATATCAGAACTACACTATAACAAAATGTTGCGACAGCCAGCATCTGACAACATACAGTACTGGGATAAATCTTTATTCATACTGTTCCTAATTACTCAAGATAAGCATTTTCAAAGTATTGGTCATTAAATATTCCTTCCATGTAAAATAACAATACAATGACAAAGTGTACACGAATTCTCGCAAGTCTGTAATATTTCTCATCAACGATACTGTCACGTTACAACACATGAATAACATCAACATCAGACAGGTAAAAATGTCTTCGTGACACGAAACTCTTGACAAATCTTCAGTAAATCAAGAAGATCTCTACAGATCTGGATCATCTAAGTGTTTTGCAGCTCGGCAAAACAATATATTTCATTAGAGCACTGTCCTTGCCCAGATGTTACTGAAATACCACAGGGACGCCTGCCAGATGTTTTACTGCAGTCTGGAGTACAGCCACACGGCGATAAAGGTATCTTCTTCATCTTACATTCCTAAATGTTATACATGTACTGCACATGTTATGGTACAGATGCTGCATGTGATGACGAAATCCACGTCTACGCCACGCCCTAATGTTGTAATTTTCACTTACAATATTTATTATATAATATCTGACATTCCAAGGTACCTGTTTAGTAAATATCTCAGCTGGGTTCCAGTTTTTATCTATTATAACATAATGTTGTTCTGCCAAGAGTATTCTAACCCCGTGAAAGCTGAGTACAAAAACATTTGTCATGATAATCTTACCAGTGTATGGAAATAAGGTAAAAACAGTATATGTGTATAAGTGAGCTTATTGTCAAATAAATATGGTACAATTGCTTAATGCTATTCTGTGAACCTGACCAGACTTTATGCTATTCTGCGAACCTGTCCAGGCTTAATGCTATTCTGTCAACCTGACCAGGCTTAATGCTATTCTGTGAACCTGACCAGGCTTAATGCTATTCTGTCAACCTGTCCAGGCTTAATGCTATTCTGTCAACCTGACCAGGCTTAATGCTATTCTGTCAACCTGTCCAGGCTTAATGCTATTCTGCGAACCTGTCCAGGCTTAATGCTATTCTGCGAACATGTCCTGGCTTAATGCTATTCTGTGAACCTGACCAGGCTTAATGCTATTCTGTGAACATGTCCTGGCTTAATGCTATTCTGCGAACCTGTCCAGGCTTAATGCTTTTCTGTCAACCTGACCAGGCTTAATGCTATTCTATCAACCTGACCAGGCTTAATGCTATTCTGTGAACCTGTCCAGGCTTAATGCTATTCTGTCAACCTGTCCTGGCTTAATGCTATTCTGTGAACCTGTCCTGGCTTAATGCTTTTCTGCGAACCTGTCCAGGCTTAATGCTATTCTGTGAACCTGTCCAGGCTTAATGCTATTCTGTGAACCTGACCAGGCTTAATGCTATTCTGTCAACCTGACCAAGCTTTATTCTATTCTATGAACCTGTCCAGGCTTAATGCTATTCTGCGAACCTGTCCAGGCTTAATGCTATTCTGTCAACCTGTCCTGGCTTAATGTTATTCTGTGAACCTGTCCTAGCTTTATTCTGTTCTGTGAACCTGACCAGGCTTAATGCTGTTCTGGTGTGGGAACATTTGTTTACAGATAGATATACAGCCAAACTTCCTGAAAGTATAATTAAATCTGTTTGAAGGAGGAAACAGGTGAGGTTTAAGCGCTCCAGGACCAGGGCGCCAGTTCCTTATATATCGGCATATGGCTGCAGTTGTTTCCAGTTAGATTTCGTGTCAGAAATTATAGTAAGGCTCCTTCAGACTCAATACTGCATTTCCTAGGCCTGCATGTCTTCAGTACCTATATATACACATTTACATAAAAGTAGAGCAGAATCTACGACTTTGTACAAAAATAAGCTGTCTATATTAATAGGGTCCCATATCATGCAGATTTACACCAGGTTCCAAGGTGTCCTCCTAAAGTAAGTTTTCCAGTGCAATTCAACCCCAGTCAAAACAAGTGATCTACAGAACTTGGAAAAACTTTTTTCGAAATTGGTCAAAAGACAGAAACCTGAAACCAAGCAACCAATCAACCACCCAATTTTAAAAATTGTTATAGAATATACTAAGTGTTTTTTTTTTTAATTCACAAGATCTATTTATAAGTACAAAGTATAGAAAATTGTTCCCTCTTTCAATACCTAAAAGTCTTCATCTGTATTGAATACAGTTTGAGAAGAAATTCTGACAAATGATTCTACATTGTCGTAAACTAAGTCAATCCCCATAGTCCAGGTTACAACTAACAGTGTGATTAACTCCCTAAGTGAGCTAACATTTATCTACTAATGCATAATTTGATATCCCATCAAGATTTATAAAGTTCTTTCATTAAAACTATAAATCATACTTTTTATTAATGGAATTATGCATGATTAAAACAAGGATTTCTCCCTTTAGTAAACTGTGTACTATAAGTCTTTCTCTGTGTTAAATCAACTTAAAACTGGAAAACTGAAGATTCAAATCAATTCGACTCAAGTCATCACAACAACACAATTTTTGAAAAAAATTTAACAGAATTGCCACCATGCAGATCTGTACCAGTGTCCAACAAAAACAGTCATGTCGTAAAAAAGACTTAAAAAGCACTGAGAATGATAAATATGAAGGATTGATCAATGAAGTCTAATACGTGATGTTTTCTTGGCCACAAATCAACAAAGCAAACCAGTACAATCTGTGGTTGGTCCTGTGAGGCCATAACCAGAAGTATAGAAGTGCCTGCTTCATGTAAATTATTTAACGCATGTCTGAACAGAGGGTAGTTAATGTGCACTGACCTCTTGAATGTCCAGTTCAGTTTGTCAGAAATTGTCCAGACTCTCTTCATCCATCATAATCAAATGTCTTCATTATGATGGCATACATGAAAACATAGCACAGCCGTATACAATCAGTCGATGTCTGTATTTGTGACTTTGTGTTACATGTTTCTCAAAATAATACATTGTAACTTTTTATTATAATTTTTATCACGAAATCTGCCCATCCTCCGGTGAATTTGTCATATGTGTCAGTTTTTCATTGTCAGTGCTATTCCGAACACCTGATTGGGATGACATAATACAATACCATGTTATGTCTAGAAATAAAAATTTGTTTTCATTTCGTACCAGGTTTCATAAAACTGACATCCCTGCGTTTAAAATGTTTTGCTTGTCAGGACTCACAAAATTTTCAAAAAAAAAAAGAAAAAGGAAAAAAACTGAGATCTTTTTTATAAAATTCAATATGAAATGAAAAATTATTTGAGATCGTATATATATATAATGGGATAAGATTTTAAGCAACACTTTAACATAGTAACTTATTTTTGATGTGTAATTGAGTTTAAATTCTGCAATTCTGACAGGTGAGCTAAATAATCCTGATATTTTCGGTGTCAGATATATCTATAAAAAACAACAAGAAAAATACCAACATGTCAACAGAATCATCATCCACACCCATGTTAAAAAAACTAGGTTAAATATGAACAAAAGAAACGTTTACCATGAGAATAAGACCAGGTGTTCCAGAAGAGTCAATGTTTTCTGCTTCATCGACAAAACACGTAAATCTTGGCCAGTCCAGGGATGTATAATACAGATTATACCTCCCTGGCCAATCCAAGTAAGTAAAGTCATGTTCTCAGATGAGAACAAGGTAAACTACAACAAAACCAACAGGCAAATTAACGAGCATCAAACAAGTCAACTTCATATCGCACAAAGGAACAGAATATGTCTCA